AGCTTGTATTACACTTTCAGAACTTAAGTATTTTTTTTCTTTTTTTTTAATAGAACAGTGTTAAAAAACTACAGATTTTGCCCTCCAGGTGAATTGTATATATATTCAGCCTTTTTCTTTCCGAAAGTAAAATTTTGAGCAGGATTCAGTTGTCTGCAATTTGATGTGAATCCTAACTTGGAGTGGCGGTGGAAAGTCAGAGTAAAAGAGAAGAAAAAAGACAATATTGCTACATTTGTAATAAAAAAGTTGCTTCCTTTTGCCAAATAGTTATGGTTGTAACTTTAAGGCTGACTACCGTACCTAGAGGAAACCGACCTCGGTGACGACGCATGATATTTTCTACAAATACCTAAAAAAAAACTTTTGCTAGTTTTTTCGTTTTATAGTGTCACTGTGAGTCTGGAAAGGAACTAGTGGGCTTCATAATGGAGTCGGACCTCACTAACACAAAGTCCTTCATCTTCATTTGTAAAATTCAGTAGAGAATTTATGGTGCAGTTTCTCCGTAAACCAAACGGTAGAAACTAGAAGAGTGAAACTGAGAATTACGGAAAAACAATAGTTAAATTCTCAAAATTAAAGAATCTCTCCTAGAAAAAACTAAAAACGCGACTCAAATTCCCCCGTATTTAATAATGTATCTCACTTCTAGTTATATACCAACGACCGAAGAATGCAACTTAGCGAGTAGCACACACACCGCATAGCTTGGCTGTCATCGTAAGTGTCATTTGCCACTCTTTCACAAAATTTCTAAATTTTTTAATGGATATATTACATTTGATTCCAAGAAACAGAAATTCCGAAAACTACTGAAGCAGTTTTTTACACTCCTCCCTTCTTCCTTCTCCTCACTACTTTTCAAAAGCAGTTTTCAGGTCTTTACTTCGTTGCAGATTTTTTGCTTCTTTACCGGTAAAAGATTTAAAGCCAAGTGGGGCTGAGCAAGCAAAACGACAACAGTCCACTGCCCTTACCTTTGTAGTATATAACGTAAGCAGTGTTAAAGAGCGAAGTAAAAAGTAAAGACAAAGTCAGAGTAAGCTCAAAATAGCCTAGTTCCAGTATGACTTAGAAAGACTTGAAGCAGAGTGAATAAGCAGATGGCAGAATGTCCAGCATGTATGATATTCTATTCTTTAAAAGCTAACATCTAAAAGCTGCGGTAAAAATCAAAGGAAACAGTGGTTTTTTCGCTTGATATTTTGAGAAGGGTTATGCTGTAGCTGGCGATACCTCTGTATTATTCGTGTGCTTGTTGCAACTAGCAACCACAGCTGTGTTTCCTGTTACATATTTTAGCTTCATTTTCAGTTTATTTTTTTCCCATCTCTCAATTTCCTGCTGAGGGTCATTCCGGAGAAGAATTGAGCAATAAATGGAAAGGAAAAATTGGAGATGTTTAGTTATCACAAGTTACTCGATAATATAGACCTTTGGCATATAACGTGATTTTATATGCACAATATTCTTATCATTGGTTGCACTAATAAACTATGCTACGTCGACAGAAAATTTAAAAAAGTAACACAAGGTATCCATTCCAAAAGCTGTTGCGGCGTATGGTACTTCCCGCAACGTCTTTTTCCTTCACATTATGAGCCGCTTTTCGTATGCTAGGTTTCTAAATTTGCTCTAGTCATCCAACAAAATTTTGTAAACATCTGCGGAGTCTCTCTTTGACTTTTATCCTAATGTTTTGTACCCATTCAAATAAGAGTTTCGATTGAACTAGCATCACCAAAAATAAATTTTGCAAAATCAGCAGTTTGCAGGGACATATACTACAAATAAAACCTTGAAAGGTAGCTGCAACGCAACACACAAGCTCTTCAGGAAGTGAATTAATGCGTCAGTTATACAAAAAAAATATAATTACAAATGTAACTGACAGAGTAGTTCGTCGATCTTACCAAAAACTTCCAGCTTATTCAATGATTGCAATTTCTAGCCTACTCTAAGCAGACTTTAACTCCCAACCTTCTATGGGGAAATTTCCAAAGGTCCAACCCAGTGCAAGACTCCATATAAAAGACCCACGCAGTTTAATTTTTTTTTCTTTCCTTATAAGACTGATTGTTATAAGACTGCAGATGAAGAACGGATGATGCAAGAGCTCTGTGGAGAGTAAAGGTGAAAAAACACCAAAGCAACCTAAATAAAAAGTATCAAGGAATAATTTCAAAAAAGGAGAAAACCCCAAGCTACCTGA